GCGCTTCTGCTTCTGTACCCTGCTTCTGCCTTATAAAAACCCCCTGAACTCAACCTGGGGCGTGCAAGTCCTCCGAGGAGACTCTGTGCCCACAGGTACCTGTGTCCTAAATAAACCTCTTGCTGTTGCAACCCAAAGACTGACTTGTCCTCAGTGGTCTCGCTCTTACACCACGACACTCCCAGAACTCCTGGGACCTGGCCGGTGCCCACCCCTTGCCCCCCCAGTCAGGTCCAGATTACCAGACTACCTTGTCTCCAGAGGTGGTGGATGAGTGGCCAAAACAAATGGAAGGTGGCTTCCCTACCCAGAGGTCTGGCTAAATCTGGAAGAGAGGTAGAGTAAGGAATTAAGGGGAGGGAGAAGGGTTGAAGAGTGGGAGCCAAGGAGAGGATGCAGGTAAGGAGAGTTGTCCCTGCCTTCTCCTAAGAATCCAGTCTGCGTCTAGGCAGGGCATCAGTATGCTCTCAAGACAAGAGGCCTTCTCCCCTTAGGTAGGCTCAGGCCCCTAAGACCTCAGGGGTCCCCAGTCTCAGCAGAGGCATTAGGCCAATAAAGTAGGCTGGGAGGGCCTGCGTTCCCTACAGGCTGGATCCTAAGATTAGGAGTGGACAATAGAAAAAGAGGAAACAGCTGAGTGCCACCACCAGGGGCAGGTGGGCTTAAGCAAACTCAGCCAGGGTGCTGGACACTCAACAGTCACCAAGGCCGGAGATGCCCAACCAGGGTTGTGGGACACAACTACACTTAGTGGGGAGTCGAGTTAGTGCCCAGGCTTAAAGGTCTCCTCAAGATTATTTACCCAGGAACTGGCAGGAATGTTATCTATGGCTTATAGGAGACAGGTGAGCTCCACAAACATTTCCTCTTAGGCTTGGGAGTGACCAACTGATAAGGGATGAGCAGAGCCAGGTCTTTAATCTATAGCTATTAGGTCGCTGGGGAGACTGTACTTTTACAATTCAGAGCCTTTCATCTACTCTGATGGTTTTTATGCCTTTATGGCTTAAAACACTCATGGTTTTTCTGAGGTTCACGTATTCTATCACTAAGTATTTTGATCTCAAGAATGTGAAAACCTTGTGGTCATATCTTTGGTCAGTGGATTGAACTTCTATGAGGCATGCTCTGAGCCCATCCAGAGTCCAGTAAAACAGCACCACATCAGGCTTGAGAGCAGAGATTTAGAGGAGGAGCAAAGGCTTCAAGATAGCCAGTACAGATGAAGAGCTGGACCTGCTTCACTGCCTGCTTGAATATTTTGCCCATATTCTCAAATAATATAAGCAGACTGGGTTGAACCATACAAAATTTTCACTATTTTAACATAGCTAAACTATACAAATGATATACAGCTCAACCAAATAATCCTGAAGTTTCAAAGTGTTAGAACCACAGCAAATCCAGAAAGTCCACACACTTAGTGTTAAACAGCACAGATTCATTGTGTGCTAAATGTCTGTTATAAAGATTTGGAAGATTTTAGTGTTTCTCAACATTTAATGATTTAACAACCGATTTTATGAGTTTTTCCATTTTTGTGTACTTCAGTTACAGCACTTACACACTTATGGTATGTCAGTATTTTGCATATATTAACATTATTGCTGTGACATCACATTTTTGTGTGTTAGCTATAATTTTTACTATGCATTCATACGAAAACATGCACATCACAGTTTGGGAGGAGAGAGGATTAAGACAGCAACTTATCTAACTCAGGTTAGACTGGAACACTCTATGTAGCTATGACTGAACTTGACCTTCTGATTCTTCTTCCTTTACCTCCCAAGTGCTGGGATTTCAGGCTTGTACTACCAGGATTGGCAAGTATTATGGTCTTAAATGGTTATTTCTATACCCAGGTAGGGTATGTGTTCCAAATTTTGGGAAACTGGATTACAGGCTTCATAAGGATCCTTCCAGCTTTAATGTTGTAACTGGTTGGCCCTTGCCACATAGAGAATCTTTCAGGTAACACTAAGTGTGTGGACTTTTTTGTATTCTCTCTGGTTTTGACACTCATTGGCTATAGCAACTGGGGAAAATGCTT